CCCCCCCCCCCGTTTTTTGTTTTTGTTTTTTTCAAGATAGGGCTTCTCTGTGTAGCTTTGTAACCTGTCCTGGAACTTGCTCTGTACACCAGGCTAGCCTCGAACTCACAGAGATCAGCCCACTTCTGCCTCCCATGTACTGGAATTAAAGGTGTGTGCCACCAACACCAGGCTCCTCTTCCTCTTTTTTAATTTTTTCCAAAAAAAATTGACATGGGGGTCTCACTATGATCACCTGCAGTTTTTGCTTAACCTACTTGAAAGTTTTTGTTTTGTTTGGGGCTTGTATCATATACCTGTGGACCTTTCCCTCTCCCAAGCCCTCAAGTAGAACTAGAGAACATGGTGAACTCCTGCTGTTTTGATGAGCTTCTCAATGCAGAGCGGACATTGTGTGTTCTAACCCACTGGGTTCATGGAGCATCTTCCTGCCAGCCTAAGGACAGTGTGAGCAGAATCATGTACACATTGGTAATAACTGTTTCTTTACCTGGGACACATTAATGATTCCCTTTACAGAAAACAACAACAAAAAACCAGAATATAGCTTGTCCTAGGATCCACACCGTGTTTTTTATTCATTCCAGTAAGGGTAGCTTTTTTTTTAAGGCAGAAGTGAGAAGGATTCAACTAGGAAGTTGATGTTTGTTTGCTTGTTTGTTTTTCTTATTGAAATGGCTTAACTTTGCAAAGATTTTGAAAGATTTTGTATCTTCAGGATTTAAATAAGTATCCGGAGATGGGCTTAGTGGGTGGCTGAGGTGGAGGACAGAAGGAAGATAGACGGTGGGATTTGCTGAGCATGCATGACAGCGTGGCATTTCAGTTTTAGTGTATGTGCTGCAGAACCGAGCAGAGAATGGCTTTTCAGTTATCCTCAGCGTGGAGGCTCTGCGGTGACTTGGAGTGTTACAGAGAGCACAGTAAGGTCAGGAAGGCATTAGGGGAGAGGGCAGAGAAGGGGCATTAGGAAGCCTTGCTCAGTAGCTGAAGAAGGGAGAGACCAGCATAGAGGGCACAGAGACGCGGGAGAGTGTCGGGATCCCACATGTACTGGGGGCCCGATCTCTGGACTTCCAGGCCACTCAGCCCCACTAGGGCTTCTGTGAGGGTCAGTTCCTCCTCCCCCAGGGAGGAGAGCAGGTCAGGCCGCAGGGGGAAAACACCCTCTTTATCTTGCAGGAAGTTCTGCTCCATGGTGCTTTCAACCTGCAAGGGACCAAAGTGGCATGAAAAGGAGGAACTAACCCCTCCTCCCCCAGGCAGGCTGATTACCCTAAACATCTAGGGCTCCTGGAATAAAGCAGGGACCCCTGTAAGTTCCCCCTGATCCTGGCTGCCCCCTCCGGAAAGAATTCTCCCTGGCGTCTGTTGTAATTTCTCACCAGCTTCAGTTGCACTGGGAGGAGCTTTTTCTCCAAGGATTTTACTAGAAGCTTCTGTTGGGCTTCACTTAGCACTGAGGGAAAAGCAGAGAAAGAAAAGTGTGTTGTTGGTACAGAGGGAACCACAGATTCCAAATAGTGAAGTTACAGAATTCCTGCATATTCTAAAATCAATGACTCCATCCATCTACCTGTCCATCTGTCCACCCGCCTGTCCATCCATCCATCCATCCATCCATCCATCCACCTACCCACCCACTTAGAGATGAACACCTGCTCTATAACACACACCTTTGCTGGTCATTAAATAAAAAGTTGTGATCCTTGACTGAGTAAAGTGGCATATACACCTTTAATGTAAGCATTTGGGAGGCAGGGGTATACAGATCTCTGCAAGGTTGAGGCCAGATTGTTCTACATAGTGCGTTCCAGGCACTAAAAAACACAGCAAACCCAAATTCTAATCTTTCACTGCAGTTTTGTGCAGAAGACAAAGCCATGCCTTTTGTTTGTTTTTGAGGCAGGATCTGCAACCCAAGGTGGCCTCAGACCCACAGTGATCGCCCTGCCTCAGCCTCCTGAGTGCTTGCATTACAGGCGTGAGCTATCACAGTGGTGACAGCCCAGGCTGTTTAGAGGGTCATAGTTGAGAGGTTTCCTTTGGGTTTGGCATTTGACAGAAAGTTTCTTTCCCCCACCTCCACTTTATTTATTTATTGATAACAGTGAAGCTCTGGATGTCATGGAACTCACTATGTAGGTAAGTTTGGTCTTGAACTCAGAGATCC